TTATTTATACTTCGCTACATTAAAAGAAAAACAAATAACATAGTCATTATAAGGGATGCAACGGGCGGCCTTATCGCTAACAAGCGATGTCTTTCAGCCAACCCTAGTAAGATAAAAAACTAAAAAGAAAGAAATATTAAGGGTAAAGTGCAAGACCAAACCAAATCAACAATAAATAATAGTTTAAAAAAACTAAAAAACACGCTTTTAAAGCACATCAAACTAAAAAGTGAAAAATAATTCCTAATTTAGGCTGAAAATGGTAATGAACAAAAAATACTGGTATTATTGTGAAAAAGCGTGGGGCGCTCTGTGCCATATTTTTCGTCTATAGAGCAACCCACGCTTTTTTAGTTTTTTGTTTTTTTAAACTATTATTTAATTTTTTACAAAAAAAATTTTTTATTTTTTTTTCGGATTATTGCATTGTCATCGATCTTTGACAGGTGCGCAAAATTTGAATAAAATCTGTCCGTTTAAAGTGGGTCAAAATCGAGTCCGAAGGAGTCGGTTACATACATACATACATACAGGTGAAGCTAATATAAAGCGTGTAAAAAAAAAAAAAATAACATATAGTTATAAGGACCTGAGAGTTTGAATTCATTTTTCAGATAAGAGGTAGTTTTGGGATTGAAAAGAATTCATTATATAAGTGTATTTGTTTAAACTGTAGAAAAATATGTAAAGAACTAAATGAATATAAAGTATAGAACCCAGAAGATAAACAAATCAACATATGGAAATTGTATTCGTTTTTCAAACAAACTCACACGTGAAATTAGAGAATTATCACCAACTAAATTCAAAACTCTCGTTAAACGTAAATTAATCAATAAAGCTTTTAATAAATTTGACGAATATTTAAATGATCCTAATCCTTGGGATTGATTTGCTCTAGTTCAAACAATTTGTATGACTCAAAACTTGGCGATTAAAAAGAGTGGCGGAGAGTTTCTTGCCCGCTCTACGCCCTTGACTTGCGAACTGGTAGTAAATGTAAATTTAGAATCAATTTAACATATTTTCTGTTGACGTTCATAAGTGTACTTGGTTACCTATATGAATTAATTTACTTATTTTGAGTTCGAGTTTAATTATAATGCTGCAGAGTGTTTTAAAGTGAACTTCTAAACAATTAAGAGTATCTTTCTCTTTAACTTAGCCTATATACGTTTAAAATCAGTAAAGCTAAACAAAGATTATCAAATCAACCCGGAGGGGTGACTTCGTCACACCCTGGACTGCGTTTGATGAGTTGCAGTGACCAATTGCCGTGAAATTGGTCAGTTTGGAGCCGGCGCCCCGGGCGTGCGAGATTTAATACCCTATTATTAGCTACCAGATCCACCCGTGATTTTGTCTGCATAATGTGAAGGTACATAAGTAGTCGGTAAAACGGTATGTTTGTAAGCAATATTTTTTCAGACTACGCTTGACAGCTTCATGCCATGATCGCAAAATATTATGTAAATGATTATTTGCGTGAAACATTATAATTAATATTAATTTGATAACGAAATAATATATCTCGTATTACATACCTAGTTTAAGTATGATGTCGTTATATGGAAAATAACACAATATGTTTTTCTATAACGTATAAGAGATACAACTTATAATATACAACAACCTTACAAAAACCTTAAAAAATATAATATAATGTTTAAAATTAGATTTAAAAAGAAACGAATGGCGCTTCAACCGTTTTAGGTTTGGTCCTCAGATTTCTGTATCTGTTATATGATCATTTGTCAATCTAATAGGTGAATAGGTGATCAGACTCCTGTGCCTGACGCACGCCGACGTCTTGGGTTTATGGCAAGCCGGTTTTCTCATGATGTTATCCTTCACCTTTTGAGTGAATTTAATGCACAGCCGAAAATCAAATCTACCTCAAGGATGAGAGTGACACGGTGAAGCCACTAGGCAAAGTCTCTTTAAAAAATTAGAATAAGAAATTTTTATTCTGAGGCAAACCTTTTCGATAAAAGGTAAATATGGCTAACACGGTTGTCACAACCCCTAAGACAGTCCCATTAAAAACTACATAAATAATGCAAACAGCAGAAATGTTACTAATTCTTAGCTGATAAGCTTCGATGTCATTAAATTGTGACGAAAGCTGAATGTAACATATTGAAGAATTGTTTTTTCTATCGCATACAAAAATCAATATTTTACTTAAAGCTTTAGATGAAGATATATCAGTTCACTAAATTCTCGGAAGTATTTTGAAAGCCCGAATGAATTTTGGGGTGTCAGTGTCCGTCCCTATTTCAATTACAGATCTATTTGTTATGAAAACAAGATCGGACCCAACTGTCCTCGCCACACCATCGAATTACCTTATAATAATACAATTTTTCGCTTTAACATCGAAGATTCCATAAATTTGTACTTTTGGTTATCTATAATCTCTATTTCTTGGGATTGTATTATAAAGTATCTATAGGTTTACACAGACTTGAACAAATTTAATAAATGTAAGAAATCATTAATATTAAAATATGTATTTTTAAATTTATAAAGTAAATAGTAGTTATTGGTTTTTTCTAAGAAAGTAACAGACTTCAGTAAGATGTGCGTATATTTATTGGAAAGCACAAACATCTATATGTAACTTTTCTATAAAAGTGTTTTCTAAAGTGGCCACTCGTATACGTTTTGCTAAAGATAAAATAATTCACATTACGAAATCATTTAAGGAGATTTTTAAACTTTTGTTTGATTCTGAACAATATTCAAAGCTTCGTGGAACTTAAATAATCCGTGACAGGTCTAACAGTATATGAAAATTTAATAGAAAATATAGTTTTGACAAACATGCTTTGAGTGTTCCAGCATTTATCATGACACAATTTTATTAATTTTGTAATATAATTCAGTAATGATGTCTCTTTGATTAATACGACAATTATACCAAATATGGCAACATTATTTCAAAGTTTACACATATTTTCATCAAATATTTGATGAGATTACTAATTTCTAACCCACCTAATTATATGTAATACAGGCAAAACGCAGTATGTCCAATTAAAATATTTGTAAACATCTGTTCACGTATCATTAGACGCAAGCCCCGCTCATTCAATTAAATGGCTATTAAAAAATGATTTCACGATAACAAAATGTCCGCCGCTTCATTGACGTTTAGTTCCACAGACTAAAAACTGATGTAGATAACATTCTATAGAAGCAAAACAGTTGGACAATGACGTAAGGAAGAATGGAGTTATATTTTATTGAAAAGACCCTTTTCGATGGTTGAGTGTTGTGTAAATAGAATGAACGCTGGATCCGACGGAGCATAATGTGTGGAATATTGCTGCCGTGCGGGTTTCGACGTTACAATAAAATAATATTAGATCCGTATGGCAAATATGCACATGCTTATTTGGAATTTCAGTTTTTGTCTTGCTTGAAAAATAATCCGTTCATTCTAAAACTCTTTTAAATCAGAGCTTAATATAAAACCATAATATACTAACAGCAGAAGATACCTATTTTTAAACGATTCTCGACCTCTGGTCGTGCGTCCCCCCCGTCTGTGCCCAATCGACCTTTTTTTCTGTGTGTGCTATTAACACTTGCTCTTACGGTGAAAACATGTCATGTCAAGACACATATATCGACGACTTGAGTCAGACTCAGAAAATCTTGAAAGGCTGGCAACGCACTTGCGAGCCTTAAGCCGACGCAATAACCCATACGCCACTGTACTTTGTGGTCATATTTTGGTTTTGACTCCTATTAGTTTATGTACGAAATAGTTTCCCAAATTAATCTTTTGTTTAAAGTGTGAAGTTCGGACACTCAAAAATAAAGCGAGAACTCCGAAAATGACCAGTACACCAAGTAAAAGTATTTTTCTGGATTTTATAGTCAAAATCGCCTCGTATTCTGTATAAATTAATTATTAACCGCGTTCCCATAATATTATTCAAATGTTCCTGTTTTTGTACGTGAACATTAAAATAATACGTGCACGTACAAATTTCATTAAGAATTACGGAAATAGCGGAAACAGTGTAGTGTCATTATAAAAAATGGTACGTACCGCTGCATTTAAATGTTGCCAGAGTAAGGAGATGTTAATTATTTTTTTAATTTTCCAATGACTAGGATAGCATTTAATTATGCTGTATTTTTTTTCTAAAGGTATAAAATTCTGAGCGTAATTAAATAAAATTCTTTTTTCGTCGCTTCAGCAGGAATATGTACTTATTTACTGACTTGGTTGAGCGACTATGAGCAGTTTTGGCTTAGTGGCTTCAGCGTGAGACTCTCATCCCTGAGGCCGTAGGTTTGACCGGACTTTCTTTCTATGTGCGCATTTAACGTTCGTTCGAACGGTGAAGGAAAATATTGTGAGCAAAACCTGCTTGCCTTAGACCCAAAAAATTAGCGGCGTGTGTCAGGCATAGAAGGCTGTACCTACTTCCCTATTAGATTTAAATGATAATGAAACAGAAATTTTCAGTAGGTACTGAATTGGTGGTTAGCAACTTATCAAGTTATATATAATAATATACACCTTTATTATATTTAATGTTAAATACATTTAAGGGGACTAGGTCGTTTGGTTTCCGTCGGAACGGAAGTCTTTAAAATATAGGCAACTCTTTAAAAGAACGGTAATTGTTATCAAACGGTCAATTACGATTCGTATTTTGGATACTTCTTCAGTAGTTTTTCATTTTCTTACAAAGACGCCTCTCCATAGAGAATGATTATTAGAATTAGAGAAAAATTTCTTCTTCATAATATTTTGTATGTGTGTGGAAGAAAAACGACATAAAAAGTCTCTCAATATCTCATCATCAATAGCTCTCTTTATTATAAAAATTAAAAAGGTTTGTCAAAGCTTGTGAGTAGGTACTAAGTGTTTTTCTAAGAAAAACTAAAAGAAGAAAACAAAATTATAATGCCTTTTACCGAGTCGGAGGTAAGGTAAATGTAAGCATACCTGAGCGGCTGCTTTAGTTTCCAGGCTGATGACGTCGACTGGGGGAGGCATGGGACATGTGAACAATATGGGCGGGCTTGCGGCCTGCGCGGGACCCGACGCTAAGCCAATGCAGTTTCCTCTTGCCCAGAGGAGAAAAAGAAGGGTGCTCTTTACACAAGCACAGGTGAGATTTGAAGCTTCTTGAATTTTTGGGGAAAGAGTAGTCAATAGAGGTGTATTCAAGAAAATACTAAATTAATGGAAGTAGTGAAATTGTGAAGCATTTTTCTTGTATGAAAGCCAATAACTTAGTAATTATGATCAGAGGCCCTGGTCTTCGAATAACAAGCAATGCACTACTTTGCTCTGATATAGATTAATAAATCTTTCCAAAGATTTCGTCTCCACGAACTTCGTTTCGCCTTAATATTATTTTTTTACTTACTTAGCCTTTTTTTTCCTCTCTATAAAAACCTTTCTCAGAGTACAAGGAATATAAAAATCGTTTTCCAGTTTTGCGCTTACCAACATATTTGCGATTAATTTTTATTTATATAGAATAGTAAATAACTAAATAATATTTAAGTTAACATGATAAACAATATATCTTTGTATTTTTAATAAATTAGTCAAGCTTTTAATGGTAAAATAATAATAGATATAGGGAAATTGCATGTGAAAAGGCAACATTGGCACAAAATATTTAAAAACTATTTTTGAATATTTAACAATTGTCAATTTATGTACTAGTAAATTTAACGAATATTGGCAAGAGCAATTAATATAAATAGCCTAATTATATGAAAATTTATATAAAATTTTTAGTTCTTACACCAGATAGTCTTTCGCTAAAGAAACACTCATACAGACTAAATGTTCGATTACAATATTCGTAAAGTACTTCGTAAAATACCCATAATAGCTATAAAAGTCGTAACAAATAATTTGTTTCGGTCATAATCATGCAGTTAATGGCTTTTGGGGGTGAGACGCGTCAAGCACCACCCCTATGGTAGGCATATTAACTTTTATAGGCTAGAGTCTGTTACTGAGGGAAAATAATAATTGGAAGTAAACTGTCATTTGTTTATAGTTCACGCATTAAAATAATGTCACTACTTATTCAAGATAAAGGAAAATAATTGATCAATAAATATATTTCTACTTTCTTCGTTACTAGCGTGGATTTGTCGCTAGGATTTCTGAGAAAAAAATACTTGTTTCGCTTCAGTACGAAAATTGCTTTAACAATGACAAATCAAACGTACGGAGAAATACGTTATTAAACAAATTTTAAGGCCAAATTTCTGGCTGATTAACAAATAAATACCGAGCATACATAACTATAATGTAATCTACAGATAATATCAAATTTAATAATCAGTGTTGCTATCCGGTTTGGTTTAATTTTCCCACCCCTCAGCCACGCCCCACTAGATATACTATGATATAGAGTATTTGGTGTAATTAATTCTCTTTCCTGAATGTTCCCGCACTGGGGGACGTTGCCACCTACAAAATATCTATTTAGGTAGGGAGATTATCGTTATTAGACACTCCTACCTTTTAATTTTGTAATTTAAACGAATATGTATTACCTGTCAGAAGTGCAGCTTAATAAATTTAGTTTACATTTTATTGTTTTATTGAGCTTAATGATGAATCAAATTTAAATAAATGTCTACGCGTACTAGGTAAAATAATTAACAATGATTTCTGATTATCTAATAAGTAATGATGTCGTTTTGAATGCCAATTTGTGTACCTACTAGTAATAATAGCAATAGTCACAAGTAAGTGTATGTCACTGAACTCCACTTAAACAGCTGGACCGATTTGAATGAATATTTTTCGTATGCGTTTGGGTGGCGCTCTGGAAGGTTTAGATTCACAAATCAGCTGGTTTTTGGCTCTGCAGTCGGTATCTAGGTTATTTATCTATACAGCAACTAAACAGCTGGTTTTTCAGGTACGACTCTAGGATAGCTTAAATGGTAGAGCGCTTGGCGCGTGACCAAACGACGTGGGTTCGATTCCCAGTCTGAGCCGTCCGAATTATTTTTCGTTCGCATTGCAGGACAACGTCTGTCGGGTCCGTTAGTAATAATACAGTCAAAACCGTTTACGACGACATCGTTCAGAACAACATACCGGTTATATTGACCAAAATCAAAGGTCCCGGCTGAATTCTATTGTCTTAGGTACTTAATAACAACGTCATCAGATGTCTATCGGTTTTTACGACCAAATATGAGTAGTCCCTTCGATGTCGTTATAACAGATTTTGACTGTATATATAAAATGCACCATAGCTGTGGCTGTATAAATAGTATACATTCCAGGTTGGATTGAAAAAGTTAAAAAGATTTAGATTAAGTTTATCTGCAAATAACTAGATTAGTATGAACAAGAAAAAAATGCGTTTTTACGTCGTAAAGTATTTATTTTGTATTCAAGTTAAATATCTTGTTGGGAAATATTTATTTTTGTGTAATAATATAATATTGAAACCGGAGTATTTATAAAAGTATCGCGCGGAACAATGAACATTTGTATTGTTTAGGTGTATGAATTGGAGAGGCGGTTTAAGCAGCAGAAGTACCTGTCAGCCCCCGAGAGGGAACATCTAGCCTCACTTATACACCTCACACCCACACAGGTGAGTACACAAGTTTAATTAGTGAAAATGCGTGAAATCCATCATCATAAACCTATATTTGTATCTATAGTATGTGCGCTGTAGCATGGTGCGGGTGACTCTTGAAAGATTTACATATTATGACTTAGTATTTCAACTGTACCACATTCGCAATATACTAAATCATTAATAACTGTAGTAACTTAAATTTCACCCAGCCAGGATGTTCTACAAATAAAATCAAATTCAAAGAAAAATTAAGCAACTGTCACGCGCTCTACACTACTATACTATAGAATGATCATTTTCTTAATAGGCCTTAATACGGATTTTATTTTTGGATCTAAGGCATGCCAGGTGGCTTACAATGTTTTCACTGTGTTATAAGCACATTGAAAACTCCATTGGAGCATAGCTTGATTCGAAGGGACGACCTTTGAGTTTAGAGGTGCATGCTCAAGCCTAGTTGCAAACTGAATTGCTCATTAATAATAAAGGATCGTCATATACTAAACATACATCATATATATCATAATACTAAATCCGGTAATACAAAGGCAATCTCTGTCTGAGACAATTATAATTTCTTTTACACGACAAATACCTACTTTTGACTATTTCTACCACAACCTACGGTTAGGTTACGTTCAGGATTTCTGTATTATTAGAAAGTATAACGTCGAAAATTATATGCGCTTAATTGTATATCAAACTACGTCATAAAACAATAATACCTACTAGGCTAATAAAAAAAAATTGGTTACCGAATTTCAATAATAAAGATTTTCAATCCGAAATTGACAAGTGCTACAATGAAAATATAAGAATTAAAAATAAATCTGTGGCTACGCTTTTAGGCCTCAGATTTCTGTATCTGTTTCTTGATCATTTGTCAATCTAATAGGCGAGTAGTTGATCGGCCTCCTGTGCCTGACACCCGTCGACTTTTTGTCGATTTCCTCACGATGTTTTCGTTCACAGTTCGAGCGAAAGTGCGGCTATAGGAAGAAAGTCCTTAGTGCACAGTCTGGGATTGAACCTACGATCCCAGGGATGACAGTCGCACGCTGAAGTCACAATTACAGTACAGTTGCTACATTAAATAAAATATAGCCCTAAAAATTCAATCAAAACTATTCGTAACTTGAAGCACTTAAACGCTTAATTACCCATAACATCACAAGTTGTCACGGATGTGTAGGCGACACAAGATAAATCAAATTACAAACGGTTTGACATTGCCCCCGGGCCCCGATCCAATTACAGACACAAAACACCGATAAAACATGTCTATGGTGCCTCGGGGCTGTTATTTCAATGTTGGTATCGTCGTGCGGTTATTACGGTGATGGGGTGCGATGCGCCCCGGGCATGTTGTTCCGAACAAGGGGAGGGTATGTATAGGTGTGAACCTTAGGTGATAGTAGCTTGTTTTCATGGCTCATAGCTATACTATGTTAGAATAAACATTACTTAGATTATAAAGAGCAGTGTTGGCCTAGTGGCTTCAGCGTGTGACTCTCATCCCTGAGGTTGTAGGTTCGATCCCCGGCTGTGCACCTATAGACTATCTATTTGCGCATTTAACATTCGCTAGAACGGTGAAGGAAAGCAGTCGACGACGTGGGTCAAGCAAAGGGGGCTAATCACCTACTTGCCTATTAGATTGACAAATGATCATGAAACAGATACAGAAATCTACCCAGGTCGAAAAAAGGTCGTACCAATGATGGCGCCAATTATTAATTCTTTTAATATTAAAAATAATAATTGTTTATACAATAAAACATGGACTGTTTCTGTATGTTTTATCCAAGTTAATAATATCTCCATATTCTATCATCCTCTCTATTATATGAAGAGTTATAGATAGAGTGATTCTATTTAATCAACGACAGTAGCGTATCATATCGTCCTTTTTGTCATAATTAATAATTTCTCTACATATGTATACAAAATATTGTAAAAACTATTAAAAAAAAAGTAAGTATGGAGTTTCTTGCCCATTCTTCTCCATATGAAACTACCTTTTGGGGCTAGTCATTTTTTCTTTAAATAATTGCCTATATTCGAATGTAATTTTATTATTACATTAATTTTTATGGTTATATTAGTACTCGACCTCCGACGGAGTCATTAGTACACGGCCTCCAAATCCTTCCATTTGTCTCTCATATTTACTACTTTTTTTCCAATCTTTCCCCGCTATCTTTTTTATTTCATCTTCCCAGCTTTCTCGTTGGCGTCCTCTTTTTTCTAAAAAAAAGAGAGAACACCAGACTTTCTCTGAGATTTTATTTTGACTAGACTTTTTCTTTGATTTTGTCTTATTCCCGCTCTGGTTTCTATTATTAAAACATTTTGATACATAATCCCAATGTTTAGGCACTTGAGTTTTGTGTTTTGAATGTTGGCAAGATGCGTTCAGGTTGGCTCGTTAAAGTTGGCATCTTGTTTCCGCTTCACCTCTGATACGAAATCGGGGGTCTCTTTGATTTGTTTTTCCTTGTCTGAAAATTTCGAGTGCTGTCTTCAAATTAGTGAAGCCGATCCTTTGAAACTTGTAATACATATCGTGTATATAATATTCAGTCATACATCAATCCCTTTGATATTTTAAACTTTGAGATACGTTTTATGTTATGGTAAGTTGATATTAAAAAAGACATATGTAACCTCTTTTCTAAAGATTTTATAATTTTCGTTAATATTTTCTTTCATATTTCAATTTCAATTCAAAGTACTTAATGAAGTTATTTGTATTATATTATTTTCAGTTATTAATTGAATACCCGAAACGTGTCAATAATAAATAAATAATAATAAACTTACGCTGATAAATTTAAAGATTATTTACGCTACAAATATTTAATAATTTTCCGACACAAATATAATCTGTGAAAAACAACTAACACTTAATCCTTACCAGTCTCGCTACCATTATTAATATCTGTCACAGCCACGCGCCCCGCGCTCCCACATCGCACGACCAAAATTCAAATCCTTCATAACAAAGACTCAATAATCTCTGCCGTGTCAATATAAATTTCATAAACGCCGCCTAACCCCAACAAAGGCCGCAAACATCCATGAATAATCTCCATTTTGAGGATGTCAACACCATTTACGATACGAATTCGCGCCAAAACAAACGTCAAATGACGATGACAATGGGCGCGTGGGGTGCGTTAATTCCACAGATAATTACGATTATCGCTTTGTCATATTAATTAGGTAGTTACTTAGCTCTTGTGATTGCAATTAATTAGGTCAATGTAACGGTAATTAATAACTTGATCATCTAATTAATAAAGAATACATTCAATTAAGTTTACCTCATATAGAGAACATTATATGAATTTTTTTCATTGAATTAATACATAGATTTATAATGTTTACACAATCATTGCTTCAAAATGAATAAGAAAGAAAAGAAACTTTATTAGACATAATAAAAAGGATGTCTAGTTAAAAGAGAAAGTGCACTAGTGCCCCCTAGATATCCTGTTTCGAGAGCAGCTAGTCTCTTCTATTTGACGTTATATTAATGTAGTTACTTGTAGTAATAAATTCGACTTCAATATATACGAAGCGCACCAATACATCGATACTGACCCAACTCCGCATACGGACTTTCCTGTCTACCTATGTCTATGACTACGTACAGCGAATTATATCATATTTCGGCCATACAATGCGCAGAAGCGATGAGAACTTGGAGAAACTGATCGTGGTTGGTAACCCAGAAGGTCGTTTACAAACCAGATGGACCGATCAAGCGAAATACTCATCGTCCTCAAAACTGTACACACTGTACAATAGATGTTTCTTTGCTCACCACGACGCTGTTGCACAAGAAGAATACTTTCAGTTTCAAATGTTGAATGAAAATAAATGAAAATGCAAGTTTTTAACTCCAGTTCGCATATTTATAATTGATGACCCTTTCGCATAATTTGGGAGTGATTAGCATATATTAGTATCACCACTGCTTAACTGGTCATCTGACCCTTGAAGCTGTCACTAACACTCAATGACCGTACCTATTCTCTGCACAAACGATGATATCAAACCCTTATACCCAATGTTATTATAATTATACCCAATAGTATATAATACGAATTTCTTAACTAACAAAAATATCTGTGTTTTGTTGCTAAAACATTTGGCGTTTGATTTTGAAACATTTATATTTTTGGCGAATTTGTCGTTATTTTAATACAAAAGCTATATATATTATAATAATCTTACACGTGAGCAAGCTATACTAAGCAACTTCCGTATCTGAAGTTGGCACTTCAATAGATTTTCCTTTCATACGGGCAATGAATTCTCGCTCGGTGTAGTACGAGGGAAACTAGTACTCCAGGCCAAAGAGTAACGTAAGTCAGGTGCGAGAAATAAAGCACACCTTGATGGCTGGAAGGATTCCATGATCTGCTTCAGAGAAATATTCTTTTGCGGACTAGCGAACTGTGGAATCGAATCTTGGTGGGAGTCTAGCCTGGGAGATACGACCACCAAGTTAAAAAAAGGGCATACTTCTCCCTCAAAAGCCTGGCAATGCTACTAAAATGGGTGTCCGTGGGCTGATATGACTGCCCTTTTTGGTCAACCCGTGGGCTCATTTGCCCTATAGAAGATAAACTTCTATATATAAATTTTATCCCATATTTATAAGAACCCTAACCATCCATTAAGTAATGAAGAGCGATCTTGAAACGGAAACAAAAAATAAGAACACTTGATGTCAGTGTCCGCGCATTTTATTAACCAAGATTGGCTGAGCAATTGGTTCAAAAAATACTGGCCATTGTTAGCTTACTTCAGAGTTTTTGTTCAAACAAGATAGTATTAACACTTTCTTGGAGGAATACAGAAATACAGTACAATAAAATAATATTAAAATAAGTGAATGAAAGGATGGCAATCAACGTAATAAAATATAATAGATAAGGTGAGCGCAAGAAGTGCAAAACTTCATAAGACATATTAAATAGATATACAATATGCATATATTA